TTCACAAAAATTGTGGTGTAGTGTAGAAATTTAAAGTTTCACTCCTAATATCCTTTATAATTTTTAGAATAATTATGACAATTATTCTACAAGTATATATTTCTACATATCCTTTAACATTTTTCTATTTTTTTAATCAAATTACATTTCTGCCATGCAAAAGCTGTCCTAGTTTCTATTTCATTCCCAGGGGCGTACATAAAGTAGGGTAACAGAAAAATTTGCATATGAAACGGCGTTTATTAAAACGCGCAATATCACAGAACACCATTCGTATAGTTTTCACAATTAAAAAGGGTGCAATTCGAAAACTTTGTCTGGTATCATTACTGGTTTTTATAAAAATATATTATAGAGGACGACGGGGTTAAAATTGCTGATGGACGATTTTTGCCAAAAATTAATCAACTAATCAAACAAATTAGAACGCTTGTCAAATTTTTACTACTGCATTTTAGTATTCTCAACGATTGCCAAATAAATAATAAAAAACTGAAATCTTACCATGTATTATTTTGCGATTTTGGATGAAATTTTTTATTGCCGATTTTGCTCATTTTCACAACGTTGGTTCCTTATGACCTGAGAAAAATGCTATTAAATAATTTTGATCGCATCGATAGTCTTTATCGATATAATATTTATAATCTCTTGGATTTTTCCCCAAAAAATTGGATTTGTGAATATTTTTGCCTGACAAGTCAATATATTTTTAGAAAAGGCTGTTGTTATGCTTCGTTTCTTATATAAAATGGTACTAAAAACTGTCAAAATGCTACTTGGTTCTTATACAGTCAGAAGTTTTAGATAGAAAACTCAATCTGGAAAACGTACAAAAGTCAAAAAAGAATCTTATCATAACTGCATATTTCTGAAGTGCCATAATAACAAGTGAGCAAAGTTGCATTTTATGTGTAAAACGTCTGATCGTATAACAAATACATAGCATTTTGACAATGTAGATAGAAAATTCAACCCAGAAAACGTACAAAAGTCAAAACATAATTTTTGTCATGACAGCATCTTTCTGATGTGTCATGATAACAAATGAGTGAAGTTGCATTCTATGTGTAAAATGTCTGATCGCATAGGAAATACATAGCATTTTGACAATTTAGTTAGAAAATCTAACCCAGAAAACGTGCATAAGTCAGAAAATAATTTTTATCGTAACTGCATCTTTCTGATGTCCCATAATAACAAATGAGTGAAGTTGCATTTTATGTATAAAACGTCTGATCGCATAGAAAATACATAGCATTTTGACAGCTTTTAGTATCATTTTATAGGGATTTGGAATAAAAAAAAATTTCATATAAAAATTTTGTTACAGTTAATAAATTTCTGGTGCAGGATCAAATTTTGGGTTTTTGGGCTAATCTGTTGGAAGAAAATTGGCACAATTTCCAGAAATGTTTGTATTTGTAGATGCCTTCCTTAAAATCTTACTACCCCCAGTTTCCTCTATTACTAAATACATGCACATTTCACCCCTACGGGTCCACATTGCGAGTATTTATGCGGTTGATGTGCATGACGAATTAACACGTCACAGACGAGCCAAGTCGATGACAGGCGCGTTTGGAAACTCAATATCTGAATTTAATCGAGGCATTCGCTCTTATTATCCGAACAACTAGTACAACAATGATGATCTAAATGGTGTCAGTACTTTTATAAAATAGTTTGGCATGTGTCCTGATAATGTGTCTGTATGCCGATATGTTGGCGATGAATAAATTATATTTGGGATAGTCAATAGACCAGATATTGATTGGGTGATGACTGAATCGAATCGATACATAAAAAACTAACAAATGTATTTTTTATGCACAAAAATTTGATTTATTTTATGCACAAATTTTTGCATAAACAATAAAGTAACATTTTTCGACCTATGACTCTACTTGCCTAGTCCAGTCAGTCGGCGCATTTATGTCAATTATATCAAGGACGATGATAATTCAGTTACGAATTGCGCATTTACCGTAAATTTAATTTTGTATTTATTCTATATTATTCCTTTAGTTTTGAACAAACAAATACGGTTCATTAGGTCTTTCCGCCGCCACACATCATAAGTTTTGAATACAATACGCTTTTGATTTTGAAACCAAACTCTGTGAATATTTTATTTAAAAATCGTTTATGAAATAATGTTAAACAGCAAATGTATAGAAATATCGCGTAATCGCTGAAATTTACATATTCGCTTAAAAACTATCTACCGGAGACTGGAGGGTAAAGGAATCACATTAGAAATCACTATTAGTGGTAAATGATTTATGTAAAAATTTTTACTATGTAAATAAATCTTAATTTTTGTAGTGTGTGGACTATAATAATTACAATTTATTTATATATTATACAATAAATCGCTGCATTTTTTTCAATATTCTTTAAATATTCAGAAAACTAATTTACCAACTGAAAAATTGATTTAGCAAAACTTTTTTGTTATGAAATTTTGCATAAAGTTTTCTCACAAGACTTAAAACGTATAGTTAGAATCTCTGTACAAGCCAGACAAAATCCTTGCATTTTTTCAATTTTATTCAAATATTTAGAAAACTAATTCACCAACTGAAAAATGGTCTAACATAAACTTTTTTGTAATAGAATTTTGCATAAACTTTTTATACACGACTTTGCTGTGACTTAATTAGTTTAAATAATATAGAATTTTAAACTTAGTTAATACTATGTAGTTATAGAAATTCTATATGTATAAGCCAGACAAAATCCGTGCATTTTTTCAGTTTTTTTTTCAAATATTTCGAAAACTAATTTATTAACTAAAAATTTTTTTCAAGCAAACCTTTTTTGTAATAAAATTTTGCATACGCTTTTCATACACGACTTTGCTATAACTTAGTTATTTTATAAATTAAAAAATTTTAAACTTAGTTAATGCTATGTGGATAGAAACTCTATATGTACAAGCCAGACAAAATCCATGTTGTTTTTCAGTTTTATTCAAATATTTAGAAAACTAATTCACCAACTGAAAAATTGTTTTAGCAAAACTTTTTGTAATAAAATTATGCATTAACTTTTCATACACGGCTTTGCTATAACTTAATTAGTGGATTACAAATAATTAAGTTTACAAAATGCATTGCTACGATTGTGCTTGTTTCTATATAGGGAAAAATTGACAATTTATATCTAGGAGCGTGAGGCAATATATTTATGATTTTAACAACCGTAAATAATTCAAGAGCATATTTTTACACATTTTTTACCGGATTGGATTTCCATTTCGGCCAGCTCGATATCAATCAGTGTGATATCAAGCTTCCACTTGAAGTTTTAGATATTTAAAAAAATAATTAATTGTGCATCGTTAGGCCTAAGTAGGTATGTATGATTTATAATTTATGTCCTTTTACCCCGGTTTCCTCTAAAACCCCAGTCCATTGTTGTGCGTGACCGCTGTAAATATAATATCATTGTTGGAGAAAACTCAAAGTTCATATTATATTTGTGTGTCTGTTTTCTGCATATGTACATAAATTCAAAAGTGGCATGTGGGCTCCAGGAATTCATATTTAAATATATTTAGAAATGTTTGACGTCTGCCTTCCGTCCTGGATTCATTTCAAAATTCCATTTTTGACAATGCAGCCTCGGAATTCGTAATAAAACAAAGAGATATTATGTTACATACAAATATCAAAATTTTTGTGTAATATAAAATAGTTTTTTTTAGTCTGATATCTTTAGCTATTTTTTGCATATTCTATTAGAGAAATAGAGGTTAATTATTATCATACCGTTTCATTCAATATAAACATTAATTAAACATCAAAGCGTTGAAATTAAATTTATACCACTCTTTACAGTATTAACGGTGGTATGATCGTTAATTATCACATTTGTGTTTTATTATCAAGACAGAGTACAATTAAATAATATAAGCGAGTACTTAAAATGAAAATATATTCATCACATCGAAATTACATTATGGGAGGTATTCAATGTAACAGTCAGATATAATAATTTATGAACATAAGAACAAAATTTAATAATTTTTAGATGAGTAAAGAAATATACTAGTCTAAAATTCTATTATTTTCTGTTCATTTTGATAATAAAATCGATATGAAAATCAAATTTTCTTTTTGTATAGTTTTTATATATGAGCCCAACAAAATCCGTGCATTTTTTCAATTTTCTTCAAATATTCAGAAACCTAACGTACTAACTGAAAAATTGTGTTAGCAAAACTTTTTTATAATACAATTTTGCATAAACTTTTCATACACAGCTTTGCTATAACTTAGTTAGTTTAGTTTTTTGTTTCGTTAGTTTAGAAGTTCTGTTCAAACCAGACAAAATCCGTGCATTATAAATATAAAATAATCAGAAAAATAATTCAATAACTGAAAAATGGTTTTAGCAAACCTTTTTTGTAATAAAATTTTGCATAAACTTTTCATACACGACTTTGCTATAACTTAATTAGGTTAGAAGTTATAGAATTTTAAAGTTAGTTAATGCTATATAGTTAGAAACTCAGTAGTAGCCAGACAAAATGAATAATTTTATTTCAATTTACAGAAAGATATTTTTTAGAAAATTTGTATTACTAGAAGCTATTAAATTTTGAAAATTATCAGCAACACTTTAAGAAATGCAACACATTTTTTTCCATCTATTATGAAAAGGCTACTCCGTGACTCAGTTGTAAGAGCTTTGGCCTTGCAACGGGAGATTCCTAGTAGGATACACTTTTTGTACAGCCTTTGTACAATTTTTTATAAATAGTAATCTTAATCTAATAAGTCTTAAGAAATATTTCATCAAGTTAAAAAAATGTCTTAGTAGTCACAGAATTTCTGAATTAAAAAAATTAATAAATATGTATCATTATACATGGACTTTAAGTTCTGATTCAAAAACAAAACAAAAATAACCAGTGTGAAATATTGTATTCGGTAATAAAATTTCGGTTTATTACATCATAGACATTAAGTACTTTTCTCAGAACTTGAAAAATGAGTAGTACAACTCGTTTGATTGAGGAACAATGTATGAGTGTATGTTTGTACGTATGTCTGTATTTAATCATTTGAATATTATTAACAATAAATTTATAATATTCATAGAAAACCAAATCAAACTATATTCCACGTTCCACGTTGAACAAAAGGCCATTGTATGAATTTACGAGATTTTTTTCTCTCTTCAAGTGTATTATTGCTGGCGCGCCTTCTACTTCGACTTCGACTTCGACTTACCAGTGATTATGCATTGTTCTTATGTTAGTTCTTAACCAAGTACATTATTGTCACATACAAAATAAAAAAATAAATAAAAATGAAAATCCATCCAGTACCTAATAAAGATGCAATCTTTTGATATGGTTAATCGAACAATTATCTATCATCTCGGTGTACCCACCAAAACCTGTTCTGTTCTTTTGTAATTAAATATTGATTTTTTACATTTTTATCATGACTTAATTGCTACGATGAGTATATAAAGTCGGATATTTTCAATACACAGTCTCATGAATATATCAATGAATTTTTGTAGTCGGTTTCAGAAAATCATATGAAATAATTTCTTTAATAATTATCCTTTCTATTTAGAATATTTGCAGATGGTGGTCAGGTATAATAAAATGGACAGATGAGATATATTGTTTTCTCAAGTCATAATTCTTGCCTTAAATATATGTATGGTACGATATATAATTAATGCGCTACCCCGGAACGATAAATCATTGTAGAATAAAACGAACGAGATTCTACAGTAGCATTCCTAAGAAATGTAATAATAACTTTATATAGGTATATATATATATATATATATATATATATATATATATACCTATCCCATATATAAATTATCCTATATTTTTATGGTTTTTTAACATTTTGGTACTAAAATACTTGCCTATATAGTATTGAAGCAAATGATGCAGCTCTTTTAGTAAAACTTTAAATTTCCTAAATTCTTTAAATTATTAATTTTTTTTGTCTTCATTAGTCTTGTAACCGTTTAGTTAATATAAAACATATTAGCTACTCTTATTAACTAAAATTTAATTTATTTTATCAAAATAGATAAGTTTTTAAAATCAACTATACGATCAAAGCTTTTAGTTGCCTAAGTCGTACCACCTATATGGTCTTTTGTCGTACCTATTTTAAAATTCCAGATAATAAATATTATCTGGAATTTTAAAATCCCTATATTAGTTAAAATAAAACATATAAGTCTCTATTATTATACAATTTACTCAATCTTCAATTTCAGTGCTTTTGTCAGCCAAATTTCTTAATTTTATTTAAGATTTTTCTACACCAATAGAGTGAAAAATAATTTTTGCTCAAAAATAATTTGGCAAAATTGATCATTTTACATTGAACCAAATTGCACAAAAAAAACGTCTAATTAATCGACTTAATCCAAAATTATTAATATTTTACAATTTTGATAAAAAAATTAACTAAAACAATTTATTTCATCAAAATAGATAAGTTTTTAAAATCAACTATACGATCAAAGCTTTTAGTTGCCTAAGTCGTACCTCCTATAGTCTTTAGTCATACCTACTTTCAAATTCCAGATGATAAATATTACTAATATTTTTTTCTCTATATTATTCTAGTTAAAATAAAAGATATAAGCCTTTATTATTATACAATTTACTCAATATTCAATTTTAGTGCTTCTGTCAGCCAAATTCCTTACTTTTCTATGATTTTTTTACAGCAATAAAGTGAAAAGTAATATTTGCTCTCTCTAGTCAAGATTTTAATCAGTCAATCATTATAGATTTTATTTAATTTTGTAAAAAAATGCTAATTTTCATTGGTCAAAAATGATTTGGCAAAATTAATCAATTTACATTGAACCAAATTGTACAAAAAATGTGTAATTAATCGATTTAAACAAAAATAAGTAATATTTTGCATTAGATAAAAAATGTAACTAAATTTTATTTATTTCATCAAAATAGTTACGTTTTTAAAATCTACTATACGATCAAGGATTTTAGTTGCCTAAGTCGTACCTTCTATAGTCTTTAGTCATACCTACTTTCAAATTCCAGATGATAAATATTACTAATATTTTTTTCTCTATATTATTCTAGTTAAAATAAAAGATATAAGCCTTTATTATTATACAATTTACTCAATATTCAATTTTAGTGCTTTTGTCAGCCAAATTCCTTACTTTTATATGATTTTTTTACACCAATAAAGTGAAAAGTAATATTTGCTCTCTCTAGTCAAGATTTTAATCAGTCAATCATTATAGATTTTATTCAATTTTGTAAAAAATTGCTAATTTTCATTGATCAAAAATTGTTTGGCAAAATTGATCATTTTACATTGAAACAAATTGCACAAAAAATGTGAAATTAATCGATTTAATAATAATAAGTAATATTTTGAAATTTAGATAAAAAATTGTATCTAAAACTTGATTTATTTGATCAAAATAGATAGGTTTTCAAAATCTACTATACGATCAAAGCTTTTAGTTGCCTAAGTCGTACCTCCTATAATCTTTAGTCGTGCTTACTTTAAAATTCCAGATAATAAATATTAATAATATTTTTTCCCAACATTATTTTAGTAATTCTAAATTCATCTTTAATTATTATACAATTTACTCAATATTCAATTTTAGTGCTTTTTTTAGCAAAGTTCTTTAGGTATGCACTTTTATCTATTATAATATTTTCCCATCTCAATAAAGTGAAAAATAAATCTTTGTTCAAGTCAATTAATTGATATCAAATTTAATCAATTTTGTAAAAATTGCTAATTAATAAAAATTGTCATTTTTTTGGCTTGGCAAAATTGATCATTTTGCCTTGATCCAAATTATAATACTTATCGATATGTGTGAATAAATGTTAAAAAATACTTTAGATGAACATTTTCAACTGCAACTTAATTTATTTCATTACACCAGGTACGTTTTTAAATCTTCTACAGGACTTTTAGTTGCCTAAGTCGTACTACTTAAAGTCTTGGTCGTACCTATTATACAGAACTCAATCTAAGTTTATTCCAAAAATAAAGTTTTTGCTTTCACTAAAAACTAATAAATACAATTTCTAATTGTTATCATTCAAACAGACTTGTATTATATATTGTAAAAATAATAGAGCACCAACCTGTGCTTAGAACATGCACAAATGCACAAGTGAAAATTATTGTAAAATTCCTAAGGACTAAATTTTAAAATATAGATGCAAAAATAAATAAAATTCTCAATATCTGGATGTCATCTAATTCCCAAGTTGTTCACGTTATAAATTTAAGTAATACTTAGGGAAAAAGTCATATAATATCCCTCAAAAGTTGGTAACTCGGAAGGTTCTCTATTACCGATTTCAAATTTTAGTTTATCATTCGATCTATATCCACCCACTGGTGTTACTCCAGTTACGACAACTAATTCTTAAGGAATTTCTTTATAAATTGCTCCAAGAATTTCTATTCGAAGGCGTTCGGAATTAATTCCTATTCCGGTTTTCGGTTCATAAAACTGAAATCGCTAATCTGGTTTTGCAACGACAATCGGTATCATTTAACATATGACTAATCCTAGCACGTGTTCATAGATAATAATATATGGATTGTAGAATAATAATTGTCATTAGTAAAAGTTATAGTCGATAATATCATTTAATGGTCTTTATTTTATTTTCAGAATGGATTTTCGCCGCTGATTTCGCTGTTTGCCCTTGGGGATGCTACTGAAAAGAATAGCAAAGCTGGTGAGTTGGAAAATATTTATATAAATTGTAAAAATCGTATATATATATATATATTACATAATTATATATAAATCCTGATATCTGATACTGACAAAACTGCGTTTTTGAGAGACTTTTCAGAAAGTCATGTTATTTTGATCAACTCTACAAATACTGTTAACATAAGTTCATACATCTATAAAAAGACAATGAAAAATTTGCAGCTGTGTTTTTCAAGACAAAAAGTTGAGTAATTGTCTATGGAATAGTTTACTATTTTTTTCTAAAATATTACATTTAAAAACTTTGCAATAAAATTACTTATTTCTGTCAAAAATGGCATAAATCGTATGATCATGAATTTTTATTATTCTCGTGTTGTATTTAAAATTCGGATATAATTTACTGAATATGTAAGAAAATTATAATATTTTGTTAAACAAATAATATTCATTTTAACTATAACTAAAAGAGAACATACAATCTCTTTAAATCAAATAATTGATACTGAAATTATTAAAATTTTTGTCCTTTTGCTTTGTAAATGTAAAAAACTTCAAAAACGTTATAATGATACAAAAATTATTAAATAAAAAGAAAATAGATAAAAACTAATTGAAATGTTGTAAAAAAAATTGATACTTGGAAAAATATTACTAACCTAAAATAAAACAGTCACACACAAAAATTCACAGAAAATCATATTAAAAACAAGACGCTATAAATGGAAGTTAATTGGAAATAAAATATTAAAATACTTGGAAAAAATACTATTAATAATTTGAAAATAATAGAGTCTTTTCTTATAATAATCTTCTATAACATTATTTATATTGCATTTGAAATTATTGTGAGTCTGAAAATAAACTGATATAGTTATAAAAAAAATTATGATACTTGAAAAACTTAAAAATAATGTATTTTCTTCTAATACAAGTTTTACTTCGCAGATTTATTTGAAAAATTATATAAAAGATAAATACGAGTAAAAATCAAGATATTTAGAATAGTTAAATGCCAATGATAATTTTGAAATAATATTTCTTTCTAACAAAAGCAATTTTTTACCAATTTCTGTAGAAATAGTATATCCATACTAAATAATTATTACTAATAATTTTTTGAATTAAGTCTAAATGCCAAAGTCCACAATTATAAATCTACTTCATTGGTCACGTATTAATTGAAAAATCACGATTATTTTTTGTTATCTTCAGCATGTCGTCACATTGTCATCGATCAAAGATCTGATTTGACAAAAACAAAATTGTTTTCTTGTTGCCAAAATCTATTACGGTTATCGCATTTGTACATTTTTGCATTGCAAAAACAAAAACGTCCGGACATTTATATGAAAACTCCGATAAAGCCGAAACACGCACATTTGTTTCAATTAATTGAATGCGCAATTGATTTATCAATAAATAATCTTCATAAGAATTCAAAATGCAAAAATTTGTTTATAAATAAAATTTGATATAAGGCACGTTTGCACGAAAATTGAGATTGTGTCCACTAGGCATATTTTTGTATTGCGTTCGATGTATTCAATTAATAATATCAACATCGCATACTTGGCAAAACTAATTATGCATTTGTTGAAAATAACTTCTTTAATTGTTATACAATGATTTTTGATTGGTGTATTTTGAAAATTGCCAATGATGTCATCACTTAATAACTTGCAATTACAATAATAATTGATACTGATAATGGGGCGCGGTAAGGCAAAACTTTTTGGCTTCTGTGATATTCTTAAAAACTAGATTAATTATTATTTAAAATACCTAATAATATCAAATTGACTTTATAGAATCATCAGTAATAAATAATATTAACATTATTTTTTATTATACACCATCTAGCAGTCACAATGGTAAAGTTTATTTTCAGATTAAAAAAATATTTTAAGTTTCTAGCAAAATTATGAAAATATTTGGGAAAACCTAAAAAAAATTCTAAACGAAGAAAATATTTATGTGACAAAGTTCATATTTAGAGTCGTTTTATTGACTTAGTTTTTTGACCTAAATCTTTGTTATTACATAATTAAATAAATGTAGAATTTTGTTATCTTTCTAAATATATAAATATCAATATAGAGTTACTAATAAATTTTGAAATTATATATAAAAGCTTCAAATCAAACATTAATTGTTTTATGTAGACTATATAAAAATGCATTTTTTTTAAATTTACTTTGTTAAAAATTCAAAATAATTAAATTAAATATTTTAAGTATTTACAAATTTTATACCAGTTTTATATCAGTAGGAGGTACGACTAAGGCGTCTAGGTGTTCCTAAACCTCATTTTTATAAAATGTAGAAATTACTATTTTAAAATAATATTTGTCATTCATAAATCAAGTAAATAAAATCAAGTCAATAAACCCCAAGGATTTTCTTAATATTGTAATTTAATTGCATTAAGTGTTACTGAGTTATTATCTCAGCTGGTACGACTTAGGCAACTTTGCTCTATTTTTTTCAGTATTTCACAAAATCCTAATACAAATCTCTAAACACTATCTGAAAGTAGATAACGCCAAAGTTTATTTTCTGCCATTTTTTCTTTGTCTGAAATGCAACTCCTTACTTAAAGTTTGCGTCATCATTTATTCCATCAAGGCGGCAACTTTTATGATACAATTGCCGTATAAACAAGATTAATAATAATAAGAAAAAAATAATCTCAAGATCTGAGACTGCTTGGCCGCGTTTGTCCTCAGAAGTATCAATTACGAATTTCTCATCTGAGCTAATGTTTACTTCCAAGGAATTGCAAATCACGACTTAATTCTGCCGCGATTGCAGGATCTCATTACAGAAGATCTTTTCTGGTCCAAGAAATCGGATTCTGGATAAAAAATAATACATGGTAAAGGATGTATCAATAGACACAGATTTCATGAGTGAATATTGGATGGAATAAACAGTTTATTCTGATTCCTATGTGTCTTCAAAAGTGGCTGAAACAATAACAAATCCTTTACCGCGTTGCATTTAATACACATATCTGTGTATATTTGACACTAAATAACTCTAGAACAAAAACAATCCTTAAATATACAAAAATTGTATAAATAAATATGTATATGAAATACGAAGCACTCTGTTGGCCAATCTGCCGAGACACGTTTTCATAAACAACTCTCGGAACGATAACCAAAATCGTAAATCTTTCAAATGCTGACTTAAAACCTTATATCAACAAAAGATTCAATTTAAAAAGAATTCGAAATATGATGAGGATTTAATGCTGGGAGGAAATAACATGGTCCAGACACATTATAAGCTGAAATTTAAGATATTTTTTTTAACTTTCCGAAGGAGAAGTTTATGTTTTCATAAAAAAATCGGATCGCTAATTTTATGTTTCCTCGGCGGTTCAAGCCATTCTGAATCGAATGAGACCAAATTTGGAAAAAGTATGTGTGTTCGTCTTTGTGTATGTATTTGATATATGTTACAGATTTTTTGCCGTAAATCAACTTTTTCTCAAAAACGCCTGGACCGATTCCAAAAATTTAAAAGTCATTTGATGTACCTCAATGAGCACTAGTATTTATAAATTTTGCGCGACGATCAGTCAAGCCATTTCTTTGTAAATAGCAGAAAAGTGAACAAAACTTCGTTCACGGTTTAGCTCGCAATTCTGAATCGATTTTGAAAATTCAAAAACTGTTCGAAAGATTTTGGTTGGGAATCGTGCTGATTAGTTTTTGGTAAAGTCGGCCGGACCGTTTTCTTGTAATAAAGTGTTAAAAAAAATTCCACGATTTTTTTGAAATTTTTTTGACGGTAGATACCATAGTCTTATAGATCATACTAAAATATTACGGCCCTACGACAAGTCGTTTAATTTTTAAAATTCATCAAAGTTTGCTAAACTTAGTATCGTTTTTTTGGCGTTTCTCAAAATTAGACTTTAATCGACGTTTTCTCGAAATCACCTAAACTTTTATCTGAATATCTAAATCTCCATTTCGGTTGGTTAAGTCAAATATTACACATTTCGGTTTAGATTGACTAAATCCATCTATCATTTACATCGTTGTTCCAGTATTGTTCGAACGAAGCAAAAATTTAACCCTGAACTATTGTTGCGCAGAAATTACTCGGAATATTACCAATCGTGTTGTATGAAATGAAAATGAGTATATGTAATATTGTTTCGTTCCCATATAATCTCGTTTACATCTGCGAAATGGAAATTTATTCTATTCGACCTTCACTGAGAAAACTGTCGCAACACTAGAAGAAAATGATTGTTTCAATAAAAAAGAATCACATCCTAAGTTTAGGTTTATCTGTTTAAGTAACTGAATGTACTGATTGTATAGTTTGTAACAAATTCCGAAAAAACGCGACATTTTTTCAAATTTGGACGAAGTTTTAAAATTAAACTAATTGTCGTAGGGATGTAATATTTTAGTATGATCTATAAGACCATTGTGTCTACAGTTATAAAAAATAATAAAAAAACAATTAATTACAAGAAATTGTGCCAACTATGAATCTTTACCATATATTAGGTTGTCAAATATCTCCCTTCCGCTTTTTTGCTCTTGGTTTATAATACAAAAAGGCGGAAGGGAGATATTTGACAACTTATTATATAATCAGGTCGATTCAGAATTGTGGGCTAAAACATGGACAATTTTTTTTCACTTTTCTGCTATTTACTAAGAAACGGCTTGGCTGATAGTCGCGCAAAATTGACAAACAATAGTCCTCAACGAGATACATCAGATGGGTTTTAAAATTTTGAAATCGGCGCAGCTGTTTTTGAGAAAACGTCGACGAAAGGTCAAAAAACTGTTCTTACACACATATACACATACACATATACTTTTTACAAATTTGGTCTCATTCGATTCAGAATTGCTTGAAACGTTGAGAAAACATAAAATTAGCAAATCTGATTTTTTATGAAAACATAAACTTCTCCTTTGGGAAATTAATAAAAATTGACTATTATTAGTGCTTAGGAAATTCTTGGTCCCTTTAGGTCCAAAT